TTTTTCTCCCGCACCACACGGAAAGGCCTCGTAGCTGAATAAAAATTCTTCCCTTTCAAAATATATAATATTTAAATATAATACTACTTAAAAGTGTCGCGTCATATCAGGCACAGTTGTTTAATGTTAGGTCTGTGAAAGATAGGTCTAGTCCGTGCCCTTCATCTGTCACCTCTGAAGTTTTCATGTCCTGTTAATAGCGACTCTCGGACCTCTTTGGTGGGAACGACTTTTAAAGCCTGATTTTGGAGATTTTTTTTGTGTGAGGCGCAGCCTGATACTTCCTGACATGTTTCTCTATGCGTTTTATTGGTTTCTATCAGCACTGAATTAGCTTGCATGCTGTACTGCTACACGGCCAACAAACGTTTGAACTCAGTCGACCTCGTTCTTGTTTCAGGCGAGATGTCTTCTTATGAGGAGAGTGAGTCCAAATTCTGGCGAAAGGCAAAGGAGAATCCATTTGTCCCAGTCGGTGAGTACATATTGTGACAAGGACAAATAAAATATGTGCTCACAACACAAAAGTTTACGTTTTGGGTTTATTGAATGAGTTTTCAGAGGATTTGGGGGATATGTTGCTGTCTTATTTTTGTTTTAATGACTTTTGCTTTTTGCAGGGATGGCTGGATTTGTTGCCATTGTTGGCTACAGGCTGATGAAAATGAAAAGTCGTGGAGATACAAAAATGTCGGTGCACCTGATTCACATACGTGTAGCTGCCCAAGGCTTTGTGGTGGGAGCAATGACTGTTGGTGGGTCATCTTTCAGTTCTTACTGCCAAACTGCAACCAGTTCTTTATTTTTGATTTGTGGTTTGAACCTGAAATCATAATACTATAAACACGAGTCATTTTACATGCTTCTTTTGTTTTGTTGTTGCTTTCAGGTGTCCTGTTCTCCATGTACAGAGATTACTTTGCACAGCCTATTGAACAAGAACAGAAAGCAACCCAACCCAAGTGAACATGGCCTCTTGGACTCATATTTTATGTCCTTTAGTATTGCCTCATATTAAGGTGTGCACAAGATTTGTTTCACAGATGTCCTGACGAGAAGAAAATCTATATAGCCATTATGTTGAAACTGTGGAGAAAAAGTCTTTAATTCTGTAGCTTTTATGCAGTTTCATTGTAATGTTGAAGTTCTTTTATTTATTTTTTCACTTCAATTAAGCACTGGCTTCCGTGGAACATCTATACACTGTGTAGCAGCCTTGTGTTTAAATAGTTGCCTTGTGAAGTTATTATCTAAGCTAAGTTGTACACAAGTACAGGATGTCATTTGAGAGTTGTTGTTTTTTTTAAGTGTTAAAGAAAAAAGTTTTTTGTATGGATTTTGGTACCTTGATGTGTTTTGACTGTTAAATGTTGTCTTTGTGCCATTATATTGTTGTTGATCACCCATCTTCTGGGTTGTGTAGTACACCTACAGCAGCTAAAACACTTGCAGTTAACGGGAAAGGCTCAAAACACTGTAAACTAATGAACTCAGCAGCATGAAAGGACAGACTCTACAGTGATCATAAAGTTCTCCCCAAGTTTGAACCACAATATAACATTGCAGCTTTTTGTTGTTGGGGTCTTTTTTTGAGCTTCTCACTGATGACACACATTCTAACAGGTAATCTTCTAACCCTTTCCAATTCTACCAAATAACGCTTCTTTTCTTTGCTCAGTCATTTGCTGTTTCTATTCATTTTCTTATCAGGGAATGGCTGCCAACATTTTAAGCTGGAAAAATGCTTTGTCACTGTGACTTTGGAACCAGTGTGTAAACAGGCATTTCAATAATAATTAATAACCAATAATCATAATTGTTGTCATCTTAAAAAATTCCCATCAATGTCATTTCTAATGTGTTTAATCTGATTGCTGATCTGCAAATTACATATGAAGAGTTATGATCAGAATGTGTTCAATATACATATACATGTCTAGAATATCAGTGCAATTGCATATTGAATTGTTACAGTTGACCAACACGTCA